CATTAATCATAACAAAATTTAGACAATTTCAACAAATAAGGTTAAATAAGTTTATGATGTAATCCTTACTATATAGCTCACCCCTTACATGTTACGTCCACGTTTGTTCTCTCTAACGCTTGAAGTTGATTTCTGACGAAATCTATACACGTAATGAAACACTAGTTAGAATCTTATAGTTCTCTGATTTTATCTCGTGGGAATTTTAAACTCACTTTATTTTGTTAATCCATTTTTTGTAATATGTTAAGCTCACATTTACCCCACACTTAACTTTAAAAAAATCATCCTAGTTGGTACACACTTAGAGTAGGAAGAATCCTAATGGCGAGCATGCACAGGGTTCAGTACTTTAGAATTTTCTAGAGTTATATAGAATGTTTTGGCATGAGGTCAAAGCCTAAATTTCAATAATGTAATTATCTACAATATTGATGTAAAGGTCAAAGTCTAATTCGAAATAGATTGTGCAATAAAGTTGATCAAAGTCATGACAGGGAAATTTTCGAGCAGATTGCACAAGGTTCAGTGTTTTTGCCATAACTCAAGATATACTTAATATTTTAACATGAGACCAGTTTCTAAATTTCAAGAGTTTATTTATCTAAAACTTTTATGAAGGAATTAAGTTCAAATACCCTATAGAATAGTGACATTTTTCAGGTTACAGTGGCTGTTTCTGACAGGGATCAAATACACTAACACTCTGAACATACCTTAGTAATCTGGCCATATCTCACGCTACACATAAGATATTGACATGAAACCAATTTTTAAATTTCAAGCATACAATTTCCTACAACTTTTATGAAGGAGTCGAGTCCTAAGTTTACACTCATAAGTCTCAGTAAATCAAAATCCGTGGCTGTTAGAACAGGGCAACCTCCTAAGGTGACAACTAGAATACATGTTAGTAAAATGAACATAACTTGAGTTACAAATATCCGTTTGAGGTGAAACCAATGGTTAAATTTCAAGTATTAAAAGGGATACATCTTTCATGAAGACATAAACTCCTAATTCAGTCCATACAAATCCCAGAATTTAGTGAACAGTGACCTGCAAATTTGGGTTCTTAGGTTTTTAGCTCAACCACTTCTAATCCTCCATTTCAAGCATGATTCTAGTATCCTAGATGTAAAACCACAACAATAAAAGCAAGATAACACCCTTCCCATTCCTATTCAAGATCATCCAAGTAAGAAAAGAAAATTAAATAACACCATTTTAAAAAAAATAAAACTATACAAGTGTAGAGGAGGATATGTGTAACAAGTTTACCGCTTGAAGCTTCTCAAGAAAATCAAATTTTGGCCCTCAAAATCAAGCTTGAAGGTGAGTGTATTTGAGAGAGAAATGTAGAAAAATCTTACTGAAGCTTGTAGAAGAAGATGCATTCTCTCTCTCAATCACTTTTTAAAAGTAAAAATTTAATTACTTTATTTTTTTTTTTACTTAAAAAATTTCACTTTTGCAAATGTATATTTCTTTTTCAGTTTAACAGGTAGAGAAAATATAAAAAAAATAGTAGAATATTTAGAATAATACTGGGATAGTCACTAAAATTTTAATTCACTTAAATTGCTCTTGGATCGGATCAGATCGTTTCTTATTTGCTTATTAGACACTGAAAAATAAAATTTTAAAATTTATCAAATTTCATTGTAAAAATTTACTTTCCAAGATCTTTCTAATATTATTAGGCTCTCGTAAAATTTTCAAAATTTTATGACTTTGTTTGCTATAAAATTAGATTCAGTTTGAAAATTTATTTATTTTTGCTAAGATTCTCACAAAATAGGCCAATTTTAAGTATTTCCTAAAAATTTCAGAAAAATTCTAGAAAATCACAAATTATCTAATGAATATAAAACCCTAAAGTCACATTAAATAATTCCTAATAATTTAATTTTTTAAAATTTTGACAAAGGTTCTGTCAAAATTCAGCAGACCACAGGTACTGAGAATTAGGATGTTACAACTCTCTCCCTTTCAAATAAATTTCGTCCTCAAAATTTACATACCTGATGTAAACAACTGAGGATGATATTCCTTCATCTTTTCCTCTAACTCTCAAGTAGCATTCCTATCTCCCGCTTCACTCGAAATAACCTTAACCAAAACAATTTCTTTTCCGCGAAGTTGTTTAATTCTTCGATCAGCGATGTGGATAGGCGATGCTTTATAAGTAAGCTTGTCTCTAATTTGTACGATGTCTGGCTCAAGTATATGAGAAGGGTCCGAAATGTATTTTTGTAACTGTGACACATGGAAGACATTGTGGATGTTGGAAAGAAAAGGGGGTAGAGCCACTTGGTAAGCTATTAGACCAATCTTCTTCAATATTTGGTAGGGGCCAATGAACTTGGGTGTGAGTTTTCTTGACTTCATTGCGTGTCCAACTTCAGTTGTAGGCGTGACTCGCAAGAACAGGTGATCTCCTTCTTGGAACTCCAGAGGCTTTCTTCTTTTGTCATAGTAGCTTTTCTGTCGACTTTGAGTTGCTCTCATTTTCTCTTAAACTAATTTAATCTTTTCCGTGGTTTGTTGTACCAATTCTGGACCTAGGAGTAAGTTTTCACCTGTCTCAAACCAACACAATGGTGTCCAACATTTCTTGCCATAAAGAGCTTTAAATGGGACCATCCCAATGCTAGCGTGAAAACTATTGTTGTATGTAAATTCAATTAGTGACAATAACTTATCCCAACTTCCTTTGTGATGCAACACACAAGTCCGCAGTAAGTCCTCCAAAGACTGGATGGTCCGTTCTGATTGTCCATCAGTCTGAGGATGATAAGCAGAGCTTAGCCGAAGCGTTGTTCCAAGAGCTTGATGTAAACTTGTCCAAAACCTTGAGGTAAAACGAGGGTCTCGATCTGATACAATACTAGCAGGTATGCCATGCAATCTTACCACTTCCTTAATGTATAACTGAGTTAGCTTCTCGAAGGAATAACGAATGTTGATGGGAATAAAATGAGCAAATTTCATCAATCTATCAATTATTACCCACACAGAATCGTGACCAATTGGTGTTCGAGGAAATAAAGTTACAAAGTCCATAGCTATGCTATCCCATTTCCATTCTGGTACATCTAATGATTGTAACATTCCTGAAGGTCTTTGATGTTCTACTTTGGTTTTTTGACACACCAAGCAGGCTGCGACATATTCTGCCACTTCCTTTTTCATTTTAGGCCACCAGAATAGTTTCTTCAAATCTTGATACATTTTTGTTGTTCCGGGATGAATACTCATGTTACTCTTATGTGCTTCCTCCAAAATGGTCTTTCGCAATTCCTTAGAAGAAGGGATACATATTCTTCCTTTAAAACGCAAAATTTCATCTATTCCTTCCATAAACTCTATTTGTTTCCCTTGTTTAGTTAATTCTTTTTTTATCACAGAGAAAAATGTCATTAGATTGAGCTTCTTGTACTTGCTGTAGAAAATCATTAGTGATAGTGAGAGTACCACACACAACACTTTTAGGACAGAATTCCATTGCTAAATTCAGACTTTGAAATTCTTTTATCAATTTCATTTCTCTTATCATCATAAATGTTGAATGTAAAAATTTCCTACTAAGTGCATCTATGACTACATTCCCTTTTCTAGGATAATACTGTAAATCAAACTCATAGTCCTTCAAGAATTCCATCTACCTTCTTTGACACATATTCAATTCCTTTTGATCAAAGAGATATTTCAAGCTCTTGTGGTCACTATACACTATGAATCTTGCTCCATACAAATAGTGTCTCCAAATTTTCAAAGCAAACACTACTGCGGCTAATTCTAAATCATGGGTGGGATAATTTATCTCATGCAGTCGTAGTTGTCTAGAGGCATACGCAACTACTTTTCTATCTTGCATCAATACACAACCCAATCCCAACTTAGATGCATCACAATACACTTCAAAGTTCTTGTTAGGTTCTGGCAAAATTAACACTGGTGAGGAAGTAAGACAACTCTTTAATTCTTGAAAGCTAGACTCACATGGTGGAGTCCACAAAAAAGGCTGTCCCATTCAATTGATAGGCCAATCGAGAAAAACCTTCAATAAACCTTCGATAGTATCCTGCTAATCCCAAAAAACTTCTTATTTCAGTGACCATCTTTGGTTGTTCCCACTTCAAAACTGCCTCAACCTTAGCTGGATCAACATCTATTCCTTCTTCATTAATGACATGTCCAAGAAAATTCACTTTATTTAGCCAAAACTCACACTAGGACAATTTTGCGTACAATTGCTTTTCCTTCAAGATTTGTAGCACAATTCTTAAGTGCTCAACATGCTCCTCTTTGCTCTTAGAGTATATAAGGATGTCATTAATGAATACAATCACAAACTTATCTAGAAAAGGATGAAAAATCTGATTCATATAATCCATGAAAACAGCTGGGGCATTGGTCACTCCAAAAGGCATAACTAAATACTCGTAGTGTCCGTAGTGCGTTCTAAAAGCAGTCTTTGGTATATCCTCATATCGTACTCTGATATGATGATACCCCGATCTTAAATCAATCTTTGAAAATATTGTTGCCTCGCGCAATTGATTCATTAAATCATCTATTCTTGGTAATGGATACTTATTCTTAATCGTCACTTTATATAGTTGTCTTTAATCAACATATAGTCGCATGCTCCCATCTTTCTTTTTTACCAATAGTACTGGTGCTCCCCATGGTAATACACTTGGCCTAACAAATTGCTTCTCCAAGAGTTCTTCTAGTTGCTTTTTAAGTTCTGATAGTTCCAACAGGGACATTCTATATGGGACTATAGAAATAGGTCCCACTCCTGGTACCAGATCAATGCTGAATTATAATTCTCGTTCTGGGGGTAATCCTACAATATCATCAGGAAATTCTCTCACTACTGGCAAATCATCTAACTTTTCTTCCTTTCCTTCTACTAGTAAGGACATTACAAATCTTTGAACTTCTTCCTTTAAGGTAACATCTTCGTAGTTGGTACTTTGAATCCTTAACTACTCAGAATTGTCGTGTTCAAAATCTCTAAACACAATAGTCTTCCTGCAACAGTCTATGATGACATGGTTGTCAGATAAACAGTCTAATCCCAAAATAACCTCCAATTCTTTTAAAGGAAAACAGAATAGATTCACTATAAAGTTTCTACCATCTATACTAATAGGACACTTCGAGCATGCTTTGGCAGTGATAACAGGGTCATTACTCGGGGTATGAACAGACAAATCAAATGGCAATGCTATGGTAGGTAATCTCAATTGTTCCACACAACTAGTAGAAATAAATGAATGTGATGCACCTGAATCAAACACCACAGATAAAAGGGTGTCTCGGATAATACACGTACCTCCAATCATCATGTCAGAGTGAGATACTTCTTTTTCGCTCATTGCAAAAACTTTACCATAAGCCTTTGGCCTGCTAGCTACCCCTCCACTAAGATTTTGGTTGTAATAGTTTCTATTGCCTCCATCTCCTTCCTTCTTTACCATCGGGCAGTCACGGGACATATGCCCAGGTTTGTTACAACTAAAACATATTAATGGTTTTACTGGGCAATCTTTTTTTTAGTGCTCTCCTCCATAAGCAAAACATCTTCCTCTAGGTAGAGCCGACATATAGTTTTTACTATTACCACGGTTTTGAGGAATCTCAATTGTGGGTCCCCTTTGACGTTGTTGCCTCTGATATGGCTATCCTCTTCCAAACCATCTCCTTTGATTACATTGAGACCCATAGTTCTGTCTCTGAAGACTCAGAACGGTGTTCTATGAACTTGGCAATCCTTGCTTTATGATCTTCTTCAAAAATCCTGCATCTGTTCACTAATGTAGAAAACTCCTGAATCTCTTGCAATCTTATGGCTTCCTTAATTTCAGTGCAAAGTCCATTGACAAACTTCACACATCTAGGCCTCTCGTTGATGGCATTATGGTAGTGGAAGTGATACCGTGAAAGTTCTTCAAATTTTGCTGCATACTCTCCTACATTCATAGATCCTTACGTTAGTACCAAGAATTCCATCTCTTTCTTCTCTCGAACATCTTCTGGAAAGTACTTTTCTAAAAATCTCTCTTGAAACAAGGTCCAAGTAATCATTACACCTTCCCTCTCAAATCTTTGTCTCACTCCATCCCACTAATACTCAGCATCTTCCGTTAGTGCATAAGCAGCAAACACAACTTTGTCATTCTCTGTGCATCGTAGGGCACGAAAGATCTTCTCAATTTCTTTAAGCCAAATTTGTGCACCTTCTGGATCATATCCTCCCTTGAATCGGGGAGGGTTCTTCTTCTCGAATAAGTCTAATCTTGTCAAGGCATCATCACCTTGAGGTACACAGTTCTGTTGCATCTGAACTTGTCGGTCCTGCTCCATTGCAGCAATTAGTCTCTCCACTGAAGCAGACAGTCGACCACCTCGTCCCGCCATTGTTTCCTGTTCATCGAATCGAATTTGACTTAGTCATCAGGAAATCATCATTGATGTTAAATCATGGTAATTTCCTATACACAATTCACTACAAAGAGTACACAACAACTTAAGTAGACCTTTCCCCAGGCCTAAAGAGCCGAACTGCTCTGATACCACTTTTGTAACTTTTTACTTTATAAACCCTCAATTAGAGAATTAGTGATTTTATATATATATATATATATATATATATATATATATATATATATATATATATATACTAATAATCTTTCCCTCATACGCAATAACAATGTATTAAACCATTAATTGCAAAAATAAACTTTTACAAGAAAATTTTAAATGACACATTTCAGAATTTCATCACTGCATAAAGTACTTAAGATAAACATTCCTAAATATTTAGATATCCTTTTACAGTAATACAAAGGGCAAAATGGTTAGTAAGTTCCCCGCATTACACAACACTGTTTATTGGGGAACTCAATTACCATTTCACCTATCAACATAATTACATTCATATAAAACATTAGTTACAATTTTTCAAAATAATAAAAGAAACACTAGAGATGACATCCTACAGAGCAGCATAACTAATAAAAAAGAGTGGCTTCTACTCGGTACCATAAAGATCTATGTACAACAAAATAATACATACGACTAACCTTTGCCACTATACAAAAAAACAAAGTAGTATCAGTGCTACTTCGAATCCATATCTTCAGACTCATCGGTGTTTGGTGCTGGTATGAGTTGAAAAGGATTATTATTATCTAAGTCAATGGTTAGTCTAGTCCTTATGGTAATAGGGACACCACCTCTGAGTCCTGCCGCTCTCCTAAAAAATGTAGTAAGTATACTCGCAAAAGTATGAGTGTGTCTATCTCAATCGTGCTGCCATCGATGTGGCTCCGGGCTAATGAGCCTGATCGTCAGTTTCATTTGGTGTGGAATCTAGGCCATCTCTCTCTACTACAGGTGGTAACCGATCAAGTCCAATGAATACCGCAGGTACAGAGAAAATAAAGAAAATAGAAACAACGATAGGGTGAGCCACAATTCATACATCACGTTAAAATCAAGCATCATAAACATTCACATATCAATCACATTCCAAATGAATGATGATGATGGTGCATGATCGTAGTTTGTTTTTCTAAAATGTCCATGCATGTGGGCCCGAATCGTTTCTTTAATCAGTGCTAGGGTAGCCAGGAGTTGACACTACTAGGTATGGAAATCCACCCACAGAATTGTTGAGATCCATGCTCAAATATGATTGTGTAATAAAGTTGATCAAAGTCATAACGGAAATTTTCAAGCAGATTGCACAAGGTTCAGTGTTTTTGCCATAACTCAAGATATACTTAATATTTTAACATGAGACCAGTTTCTAAATTTCAAGGGTTTATTTATCTACAACTTTTATGAAGGAGTTAAGTTCAAATACCCTATCGAATAGTGCCAGTTTTCAGGTTACAGTGGCTGTTTATAACAGGGATCAACTACATTAACACTCTGAACATACCTTAGTAATCTGGTCATATTTCACGCTACACATAAGATATTGACATGAAACCAATTTCTAAATTTCAAGCATACAATTTCTTACAACTTTTATCAAGGAGTCGAGTCCTAAGTTTACACTCATAAGTCTCAGTAAATCAAAATCTGTGGCTGTTAGAACAGGGCAACCTCCTAAGGTGACAGCTAGAATACCTGTTAGTAAAATAGACATAACTTGAGTTACAAATATCCGTTTGAGGTGAAACTAGTGGTTAAATTTCAAGTATTAAAAGGGATACAACTTTCTTGAAGACATAAACTCCTATTTCAGTCCATACAAATCTCAAAATTTAGTGAACAGTGACCTGCAAATTTGGGTTCTTAGGTTTTTAGCTCAACAACTTCTAATCCTCCATTTCAAGCATGATTCTAGTATCCTAGATGTAAAATCACAACAATAAAATTAAGATAACACCCTCTCCATTCCTATTCAAGCTCATCCAAGTAAGAAGAGAAAATTAAATAACACCATTTAAAAAAAAAATAAAACTATATAAGTGTAGAGGAGCATATGTGTAACAAGTTTGCCTCTTGAAGTTTCTCAAGAAAGTCAAATTTTGGCCCTCAAAATCAAGCTTGAAGGTGAGTGTATTTGAAAGAGAAATGTAGAAAAATCTTACTGAAGCTTGTAGAAGAAGATGCATTCTCTCTCTCAATCACTTTTTAAAAGTAAAAATTTAATTACTTTATTTGTTTTTTACTTAAAAAATTTCACTTTTGCAAATGTATATTTCCTTTTCAGTTTAATAGGTAGAGAAAATATAAAAAAATAGTAAAATATTTAGAATAATACTGGGATAGTCACTAAAATTTTAATTCACTCAAATTGCTCTCGGATCAGTTCGTTTCTTGTCTACTTATTAGACACTGAAAAATAAAATTTTAAAATTTATCAAATTTCATTGTAAAAATTTACTTTCCAAGATCTTTCTAATATTATTAGGCTCTCGTAAAATTTTCAAAATTTTACGGCTTTGTTTGCTATAGAATTAGATTCAGTTTGAAAATTTATTTATTTTTGCTAAGATTTCCACAAAATAGGCCAATTTTAAGTATTTTCTAAAAATTTCAGAAAAATTCTAGAAAATCAAAAATTATCTAATGAATATAAAACTCTAAAGTCACATTAAATAATTCCTAATAATTTAATTTTTTAAAATTTTCACAAAGGTTCGGTCAAAATTTAGGAGACCACGAATACTGAGAATTAGAATGTTACATTTTGTATTTTTGTTTGACCTTGTATTAGGTCATATTTTTGGGCATGTATTCAGCCTAAATGCCTATCCCCTTTCTTTTCTTGTTTTGAGGCCTATTAGAGATCATTTTGGGCTTTGAGTTAGCTTGTCTATATATAGGCTAAACTCCTTTGAATTTGGGAATTTTAGAATTCATTTGATGCATTGTGCATTTTTCTCCTCCCTTGTAAGTTGAGTTTTTCTCTGAATTTTCTCTTTAAAAAATTCATAACACTACTCTTGTCATGGATTCTTTCATGTGGTGACACTACTCTTATCATGGATTCTTCCATGTGATGAGTGCAAACTCAGCTTATCTTCAATCCTTTGAAGTGGTGCTACATCAATACTTCCTCTTTCTTGCTTTCTATTTGCAATTTTCTTCCTTTTTTTTTGTTGAAATACGTTATTTGAAGCATATATGAAGCCAAAACGTGGCTGGTATATGATAAACCCACATTTTACCATAATTTTTAGTATAATTTTGTTAATAAATAAGTAGCAAAGTGCTAAGTAAACTTGAAAATATCATAAAAATTACATTAATATTCATAATTGTGTAAATAGTTTTAATTTTTAGATTTTTAGTCAAATTCTGAACAATTTGACTTAAAAGTGACTTAATCCTTATGCAAAAGCTTGAGCTGAGAATTTGAGTTGAAGATTGAAGTGAAGAAAGTAGAGGAATTGAGCTTAAAAGATGAAGAATCAAGTGTTATATGAAAGGCGTAATCACTCTGAGTACGTAGAGTGAACACTTTGAAGAAGAAAATTCATATAGGTTAAGAGAGTAGCTACTTCAAGTGTTCAAATAGCTACATAATTGAGCACGTACCCACTTCAAGTGCCCAGAGTAGCTACGCAGAGTACGTAGCCACTTCAAGCGTTCAAAGTAGCTACGCCCAAGGTTAATTCAGAACTGTGCAGTGCGCGTAGCTACTTCAAGTACCCAAAGTAGCTACGCAGAGCACGTAGCCACTTCAAGTGTCTACGCAAAAATAACAGAATTTTAAATATCACTTCTAAGTGTCAACTTTGGGCGATTTGAGTTCTTAAATCAGTTTTAGAAGCTTCTAGAAGACCTTTGATGCTAGAATTCTCAGAGATTAACATGTAGAAAGGAAAAAGGCAAGAAAAACCTTATAAATAGAAGTTAGAAGTTTAGAAAAAGGAATAGACTTTGGTTCATTTTTGTTATTTTTCACTTTGTAACTGTTTTAACTTCCAAGGAAAGTCAGAGAGAGAGATTGGGAGTGACTTTCAAGCTTCATTTCTAGAGGAATCAGAGTGAAGATTGGGTCTTGGAAGATGTTCTTCTGCTTCTTGTCTTCTTCTTCTCTTACTTCTCCTTTCTCCATTGTAATGTTGTTCTAAACCTTTTTGGTTAGGGATCTATGAATCCAGATTTGATATTGTGATGTAATTGTGGATTGAATCTTGAGATTTTAATTGAATTGAGTATGTGATTCTGTTCTTAATGCAGTGTTGAACTAATCATTCATTCAATTGAATTTAGAGGAATTTTCATCAATAAAAATTGAGTTTATTTCTCAGATTTGAATCATATGCCTAGGTTATTGAGATCTTAGGAATAAGTATCATGATCTAGTAATCCTATAATTTCTAAAACTTAATACAGTATTTGATTAAATTTTACCTAAGGGATTAGGGAGATTTAATTAGGTATTAGGATCAATGAGGCAAGGAATTGTCCTTTGGTTAAAGAAGTGAAATTGATTATCAATCAATTAAAATTCTCAAGAGTTCAGAACATGATTACATTACAATTGAAAATCTGGTGAAGTGATTCCTAACTATTTTTCATATAGCATTCTTAATACAAAATTCGTATTTTGTTTTTACAGCAAGTTTATTACCTTTTATTGTCTTTATTTCTTTCTTTCACATATTACAAATCCCTCAAATGAATTATTTTGCTCAATTAATTGTTAAATTGTGAATTGATAATTGAAATAAGATCCTTGTGGACGATACTTGGGGCTCATATTGAATTTCAAATTTTATTACTTGCTACAACTACCTAGTATACTTGCTAGTTACTTCTCCAATTTGGTGACAATCTACCTGTCGGAGATCCAATTCTTTGGTCTTTCTTGATGATCTTTTTAAAAACACATCATTTGGTATCATGAGCATGGTCTAAGCAGGTACGAAATTCTTAGATCTACACTTTTATAGCTTTCTTTTTTAAAATTTGATTCCATATTCTTCATCTTCACCTTCACCTTCTCCTTCATATAGATCCATTGGTTGATCATGTTTCTTTTAAATTTCAATTTTGGCGCCAAAACTTAAAACTTAGATCTATTTTGAATTTTGAAAATTCGATTGTAGATCCTTGATCTATATTCAATTCCGATCAAAACCTTGTAATCATTTTCATAATCGGACAACTTATAAATTTTTCTACCAAAATTTATTTGAATTTATTTTTTAGATTTACTTTGATCTATAAGGAATTTTGAAAATCTGATTATAGATCCTTGATCTACACATAATTGCGTACAAAACCTTGTAGTCAATTCCATGATTGGATAATTTTCAATTTTTTGCTCCAAAATTCAGATCGCAACATTTCTAGATCTTGACTAGATTTTTGTGTTTCCACCGAACAAATGTTTAATCCATTCCTTAGTGTTTGTGAAAAGTTTTAATCGGCTTAGTTTGTGGAAATCTATTCTAGTTTGTGAAATTTTGAAATTGTGCTTGTTAGCTCTTGGCATCAATTTTCTATATATGTGTTTTGGCTATTCTAAGTGTGTTTCTTGTTGATTGATCAAGTCTTAGAGTTTTAAAGCTTTTTCCATCAAGTTTTATTGGTTGTCCATGTGTTGTTCTTTCTTAGTTTTTGTCACATATATTCTTCCTTCTTGATATTAGAAGATGATGCAACATGCTTGATCTAATTTTGGTGTTGTCTAAGTGTTGATTGTAAAGCTTGTTGAAACTATGTTTGTTTACAAAAGTTAGTGAATAGATGTTGTAATTGTGTTGTGGCTAAAAAAAAAGAATACAAAAGAAAAAAAAAGAAAAAAAAAAGGAATCCAAAAGCAATTGGTGTACTAAGCATGCAAGCAAGAGATTGATCTTGAATAAGAAATTTTTGGTTGATACCAAGGTTTTGCAAGAAAAAAAAATAGCATAGTGAATTTAGTTTTTGATTAAATAAAAATTGCATTCTAGTGTTCTAAGTTCCATTTGAGTGCTTCCTTTTAAAGTTGCTTTAATTATAGTTTGTCTTTTGTTGATTTTAAGTTTGTCACATAACTACTCCTTATTTGTTTAGCTTTTATTGTGTGAAACTTTTCTTGTTTTGTCTCTTTGGAATCCTTAAGTTTTGTATTGAATGGTTGTCAATTGTGCCTTATTTTCCTTCAAAGCATGGTAGCATAATAAAAGATGAGTAAGAGTTGAATAGTTGTGTATTTTCTTTTGGGAACTTCATTGAGAATTCAAGTGTGAGTGTAATGAGAGCTAACATCCATAAGGAAGACAAAACAACTATAGCTAGGTTTCTAGGAGGCTTTAATAAAGAAATTGGTGATGTAGTTGAGCTTTTACCTTATGTACACCTAGATGATGTGGTACAACAATTCATGAAGGTCGAACAACAACTAAAGAGAAAGAGATCATATAAAAATTATTCTTCATCAAGTTATCCTAGCAAGACCTCTAGTTGGAAAGGTAATTGGAATAGGGAAGAAGATAGTAGAAAAGATAAACAAAAAGAAAATAAGTTGACCTCACATTTTAAAGAAAAAGGATAATAAATACCTCAAGTCCCAACTTAGCAAGCCCAACTCAAATGAAGGTAATTCAACGACCACCTCCATTAAGTGTTTCAAGTACCTAGGTAGAGGGCATATAGCTTCTCAATGCCCAACCAAGAAAATCATGATATATAGGGGCAAGGACCACTTCTTTAGTTAAGAAGAAGGAACTAGTTCTTCTTTTTCTTCTAGTAGGAATGAGGAATACACTAGTGGAGAGGAAACTTGTGGGAGTTAGGAAAACCTTTTGATCATGTAAGAGACTTGAATGAGTCTCAAAGAGAGAACATCTTCTACACAAGGTGTTACATTAAGGAAAAATTGTGTGCACTCATTGTGGATGGGGGTAGTTGTGCAAATTGGGCAAGTGTGAGGTTAGTTGAGAAACTAAGTTTAGAAACAACCTCACACCCTAAGCCATACAAAATTCAATGGTTAAATGAAAAGGGTGAGATACGTGTGAATAAATAAATCACCATAGGGTTTACCATAAGGAATTAAAAAGATGAGGTTGTATGTGATGTGGTACCCATTGAGGTGGGTCATTTGCTTTTATAAAGGCCATGACAATTTGATAAGAATGTCACCCATAGTGGAACCTCCAATAAGATCTCTTTTGTGCATAACTCTAAGAAAATCACATTTATTCCTCTAACACCTAAGCAAGTAATAGAGGATCAATTAAAAATAAAAAACAAGAGAGATAAAGAAAAAGAGTCTGTGGGCATATCCAAGGACAAAAAGCCTAAGAAAAAGGAAAAAAGGTGAAAAAAGAGTTAGAAGAGATAAAGACAACTATGAGCTTGCCTTAAGTCTCAAGAAGGAGGGATTCATTGCCAAGATGCAAGATGTGAAAAGAATCCTTTATAGTAGCCAACCATTGTATTTGGAATGCCATATGAATCCTTTGACTCTTGCCATTACTCTTTCTTCTTTGGATAAAAGAGTCAAGGCTCTTTTATGGAATTTTGAGGTTGTGTTTCCTAAGAAAATTTCCAAAAAATTACCACCTAATTGGGGGATAACAAAAGAAGTAAATTGGACGCCAAGTATCTTTTTCCCTCTTAAGATTTCATCTATTTCATTCCTTGTACATAGAGAACTTAGTAGAATTAGGATTTTCTTATATTCTTTTGAGTTGTGGTATTATAGACATAAATCTTTTGTTATAGTTTTTGAATCTAGGCATTTAGAAACACATATGTTGTGTATGAACTCAATCCGATTTCCATTTAGTAATGACATGCTACATTTGAGGTCCAATTCATTAGGCATGATAAGCAATAAGTCAAGTGTTCTCCCATTAGGTAATAATACAATTATAGTAACACATGACTTTATGCATAATGATGAGTTCATACTACAAAGTAGAATGCATGTATCTCATTTTTCTTATAATCCAACTATGTTATGACATTACACTTCATTTACTAATGACCTTGTCTTTAATAGTTTTGTATGTGTTTTCTTATAGACATATCTCATTAATTTTGTATGAGCTTTTGTAATAAAATACTAAGGATCAAGAGGGCTAATCTTTGATTCAAGTGGGTTCTTTCCATAACTAAGTACTTGATCTTTATCCTTCACATTTCTTGAGACTTATTTTGTATCTTTTTCTTTGTAAGCAAACTTTATGGCTTTCATGAGGTAAATGACACTTCAAATTTGTGGCCAAATTCTTCCCAAGAAGGAGAGGATGATGTGATCCTAGGAGTCAAAGGATCACACATGTATATATTTTTTACTTGCTTTGTTCATGTTTAGAATAAGTTTGTTTTGGGCCTTGCATTTTGGCCATGGGCTTGGGAAGCCCATTGGGCTTTAGAGTGGAGTTTTTTTTTGTATTTTGTTTGGGCTTATATTAGGCCATATTTTTGGGCATGTATTTAGTCCAAATCCCTATTCCCTTTCTTTTTTTGTTTTGAGGCCCATTAAAGACCATTTTGGGCTTTGGGTTAGCTTGCCTATATATAGGCTAAGCTCCTTTGTATTTGAGAATTTTAGAATTCATTTTATGCATTCTGCATTTTTCTCCTTCTTTGTGAGTTAAGTTTTTCTCTAAATTTTCTCTTTAGAAAATTCATAACAATACTTTTATCATAGATTCTTCCATGCGGTGAGTGCAAACTTACCTTATCTTCAATTCTTTGAAGTGGTGCTACATCAATACTTCATTCTTCTTACTTTCCATTTGCAATTTTCTTCCTTTTTTTTGTTGGAATACATTATTTGAAGCATATATCAATCCAAAACACTACTGGTCAACCTCTTGAAGATCCAATTCTTTGGTATTTCTTGAAGATCTTTTCAAGAAACACATCACTAATGGAGAAGCAGAAGTTGAAGGACTTGAAGATAAAAAATTATCTTTATCAAAACATTTAGGATTCAATGAAGCAAAAATTCCAAGGTTCTACAAGAGTGAAGAGAGCACAATTGCAAGCCTTGAGCATAGATTTTGAAGTTCTGAGGATGAATGAAGGAGAGACGGTTAATTCATATTTTGCTCGTACATTAAAAATTGCTAAAAGTATGAAGGTGCGTGGTGAGTGTATGCGTGAGAATGTCATCATTGCAAAAATATTGAGGTCCATGATTTCTAAATTTAATTATGTCATGTGCTCGATTGAGGAATCCAACAATTTAGATGTCATGACAATTGATGAGTTGAAGAGCAGTCTTTTAGTTCGTGAGCAAAGAATGAATTGCCATGAAGAAGAAGAACATGTACTGCAAATTACTAATAAAGATAGAGGAGGAAGAGGAAAAGGAAGAAGGGAAGACTTTTCCAGAGGTGGTCGAGGTAGAGGAAGAGGAAGACAAAGACAATTCTTAAACAAAGCTAAAATTGAGTGTTTTAATTGGCAGAAAAGAGTAAACTATGCTGAGATGAAGGATGAAGTAAAGGAAGAAGATGAGCTCTTGCTAATGTCTATGTTGATCTCCAACAAGGTAAGAAGAAAAATGAATGGTTTCTTGACTCAGGGTGCAGCAACCATATGAGTGGAGATAGGAAGTGGTTTTTAGAGATGGATGAAAGTTTTAGACACACTGTAAGGCTTGACAATAATACTAGAATGGTTGTGATAGGGAAAGACAATATTTGCTCGAATGTTAATGGAGTTACACACGTAATTTCAAATGTTTATTATATTTTTGAACTCAAGAACAATCTATTAAGCATAGGATAGCTTCAAGAAAAAGGCCTAGCTATTTTGATTCAGATGGGAAGTGTAAAATTTATCATCCCAAAAGAGGGCAGATTATGGAGACTAAAACGAATGCAAATAAGATGTTTTTCTTGGTAGCTATTATGGTACCAAAAAATTCTACGTGTTTTCAAATGGAGTTAGAGAATGAATCTCATATTTGACACTATCGATTTGGTCATTTAAGCTATAATGGCTTGAGGGTACTTTCTTCTAAGAAGATGGTGAATGGGCTGCCCTCTATCATGACCTCAAAGGATCTATGTACATATTATTTAGTAGGAAAACAACATCGAAGCTCTCTGCCAAAAAAAGGGTTTGTGGAGAGCATCAAACAAGTTTCAACTTGTACATGCAGACATATGTGGACCTATCAAACCAACTTTAAATAGTAACAAGAGGTATATCCTAAGTTTTATTGATGACTTTTCTCGTAAAACTTAGATTTACTTCTTAAATGAAAATATGGAAGCATTTTCTATGTTTAAAAGTTTCAAAGTCTATGTTGAAAAAGAAACAGGTGCATATATTACTTGTTTGAGGACAGACAAAGGTGGTGAATTCACCTCAAATGAGTTTGGAGAATTTTGCAGGACTCAAGGCATAAGTAGACAATTGACTACACCTTATATTCCTTAGCAAAATAAAGTTGTTGAGAGGAAAAATAGAACGATAATGAATATGATGCAGTCTATGTTGGTTGAGAAACAAGTTTCCAAGGTGTTTTAGCTTAAAGCCGCAAGATGGTGTGCATGTTCTCAACAGGTGTCTTACGGTAGTTGTGCAAATAAAAGTCCCGAAGAAGCATGGAGTAGATTGAAACTCACAGTGGAATATTTTCAAGTCTTTGGATGCATAGCTCATGTTCATATTGTAACATCTTAATTTAATTTTTTAAATAAATAAATTTTGCAATAAGTGAGAATAATAAAAGCTTCATTCAATGGTTTCAAATACATAGTTCAATAAAGTGCTTCAAAATAAGGATGAATTACAAATTTTGAATCAAATCATTGCTACAGGACCTATCAATACATCCCAGTTTTCAAAACAATTTTTCAAGTCTTATAGGAGTTTCATTCATCCCTTTCACTAAGTCTGGTTTTGATCATCTTAGTCACCTAAAAAATAAATGTAAGAATGAATACTCTACACTATCACACACACACACACACACACACACACACAAATATAGAGACTCACCTTGCGCATTCCACATGTTTCTAACATAATTCAAATCATGCATCAAACAACATACATTCACGCTTTTCAAATATTCCAAACATTCTACACACAAACGTGCACTCACTGCACGTTAGCTACGCTCACTGTGGTATTGTGATCATAGTTTCTTGATACCCTCAATATCAGGGACTTACTCAGTTTCATACCATAAATGGTCGCCGATTAGTCCCTGCCTCACGAATATAATGTATGCGGTCACGGCCCCTTAGTAAAAGTGTTAGTCAGAGGCCATGTCAGGAGGAGAGTGTGTGGCCTGTGGTGCACCCATGTTCACTGTCGGTGTCACCACCACCCTCTCTTCTTTAAGGCATTTCTACCGTTACCATCTTCCACACCCCAGTGTATCGCTGTAACCATTCATAGTTTTTATTTTCACACATTACATGTACACATATAATCAGTCACATTACATTCAAACTCACCACAATTCTATCACAATCCTATATCAATCAAATTCATTTCATCACACATATCACCCAGTAACTATCATGCATGCTTTATACGAAATTTTCATTAAAACATGTATTTTCCTATGCTTTATCTCTACCATATTTCATTATCCAACATTATAAACGAATTTCAAACCAAAGGAGATAGGGTAGAGTCCTCTTTACCTTGAATTGAAGATTCAATATGAAATAATGGTAAAAAATGTCTCCCATGCAGTATTTCGTTCTAAACACATGGAAAACTTCATGAGAAACCGAGAAAACAAAGAAGAGGGATCAAAATCGAAATCCCATTTCATAACACTTACCTCCAAATATTCCAAACGTGATTTCAACCTTCAATCTAACGCATAAACGGCTTTAGAGGCAATTTAATCGGTGAAAATGGGTTAAGGGTCGAGAGAATCGAAAGAGGGTTTGAAAGGAAAAGTGATAAATAAGAAATGAATTTCTCAAACCCTAAACCCCTCAAATACCCTAGGATTCGTGATACTCTCGCTACAGCGAGACATCTCTTGCTACAGCTAGACCCTTTCTCACTACAACGAAAATATAAGAGAAAATTACACTTTAGTTTCTGCATAATATCTCTACAGCGAGACTAGGCCCAAAAAATTATCCCTCTCTATTGCTCTCTTGCTACAGTGAGAACGCAACAGAGACATCCAACTCTCGTTGGACCTTTTTGCTACAACGAGAATTTTCTCCGTACAACAAGAATGCCCATCTAGTACACACTAACCTATGTTTTCAATCAGTCCAGTCAAATTACAAATCAAACATCCTCAATACACATTTACGTGTGTATCCACTTATGGTCATACACACATATACCCACATATATTCACATCATCATCACATAAATCAAAATGCACATTCAAATAGAAATCTACAATTTATATTAATAATCAAAATACTATTACAAAATTCAGAGTATTACAACTCTCCCTTCTTTTCGGAAATTTTGTCCCTGAAATTGAATCAAACTATACAAAAAACTCTAGATACAATTCTCTCATTCTACTCTCTTTTTTCCATGTGGCATTTCCTTCATCACTTGCACTTTATATCACATTCATCGATGAAATCTCCTTACCCCTTAATTGCTCAACACGGTGATCTGCAATCCTCACCGAGTACACATCATAGGACAAGTCCTCCCTTACCTGAACTGGGTTAAGATCAATCAGGTGAGAGGGATCTAACACATACTTCCTAAGTTAAGATATATGGAATACCGGATGTAGGTTCGAGAGATTTGGAGGTAGCATTATCTGGTACGCTATAGGACTGATTTTACTCAATACTTCAAATGGTCAAATAAACTTAGGAGACAACTTTCTGGATTTCAGAGCTCTCTCCACTCCGGTCATAGGTGAAACCTTAAAAAACACGTGGTCACCCACCTAAAACTCCAAATGTTTCCTCCTCTTATCATAATAGCTCTTCTGCCAATCTTGTGCAGCTTTCATCTTCTATCTGATCGTCTTGATCTACTTATTCTGCTTCTGAACTATGTCTGGTGCACACAGAGTAGCCTCCCCAGTCTCGTATTGACACAAGAGAGTTATACACTTCCGTTCATATAGAGCCTCAAACGATGCCATCCTAATGCTGGCGTGATAGCTTTGTTGTACATGAACTCTACCAATGGTAAACATTCTTCCCAAGTTCCCTATTGCTTGATCATATAAGCCCTCAACAATTCCTCCAAGAATTGAATGGTCATCTCAGTCTGACCGTTAGTCTGTGGATGATAAACTGAACTAAGCTTCAGCTTAGTGTCCAACGCCCTTTGCAGACTCTCCCAAAATCGCGAAATGAATTTCAAGTCTCTGTTGGATACCACATTAGTCGACACTCTATGCAGCCTGACTATCTCCCTCACATACATGTCTGTCAGCTTCTCTAATTTGTACTTCATGTTGATTGAAATAAAGTGTGCAGCCTTGGTCAACGGGTCCACTATCACCCAAATGGCATCATGGTTGTTCCTAGTCCTCGGCAACTCAAAAACAAAGTCCATGGAAATATTATCTCGCTTTCACTTAGGGATCTCCAAATGTTGCAATAACCCAGGTGGACACTGGTGCTTCACCTTTGCCTTTTGACAAGCTAGGCATCTCGACACATACTCCGCCACATCCTTCTTTATCTCATTCCACTAGAAATTCTTATAGAGGTTCTGATACATTTTGGTCACACTAGGGTGGAAACTCATTCGGCTCTTATGCGTCTCCTCAAGTATCATTTGTTTTAGCTTATCAACTTGGGGAATACACATACAGTTTTAAAACTTGATCACTCTGTTCTCATCATAGTAAAACTCCAAGTTCTTCCCCTCACTCTTCTGTCTCATTATGTCCTGCAGGAAAGCATCTCCTGTTAAGCATCTCAAACGTGTACCAAGAAGTAATTGTGGATCGTCATCATCCCAAGGTACAAACTCTTTGGTGTTACCTCCATAGCGAAGCTCATGTCTGAAACTTCTTAATTAGCTCCATCTTTTTAATCATCATTGCTGCCATGTGCGATGACTTCTTGCTTAAAGCGTCGGCCACCATATTTGCTTTATCTAGATGGTAAGACAACGTGAAATCGTAGTCTTTGAGGAATTTCATCTACCTCCTCTAACGCATGTTCAACTCCCTATGATCAAACAGGTACTTTAAACTCTTGTGATCGCTGAACACCTCAAACCTTGCTCTATAAAAGTAGTGCCTTCATACCTTAAGAGCAAATACCACTGCGGCTAACTTCAAATTATGCGTCGAGTAGTTGACTTCATGTGGGCGCAATTACCTCGAGACATAGGCAATTACTCTCCCGTCTTGCATCAAAACACTTCCAAGTCCATGTCCAGATACATTGCAGTACACATCAAACTTCCGTTCTGGGTCAGGCAAAACCAACATAGGTGCTAAAGTCAACCTCCCTTTCAGTTCTAAGAAACTAGCTTCACACTCTCTGCTCCATTTGAACTCCTTTTCCTTGTGGGTCAGTTTCGTCAGAGGCAAGTTATTTTACAAAATCCTTCAATGAACTTTCTATAATAGCTCGCTAGTCATAGAAAGCTATGAATTTTCGTCACATTCGTCGG